TATTATTATTATTAATAATTTTTTTTGTACTAATGTTACTCATATATCATAATTCCCTTATATCACTGAGTGTAATGGCAATCGTTGTGATATAAATAACTAGCAAAATTAAAATATGGAGAGATTTTATAGCATCTTTGAGACTAACTGATGAAAAAAAGAAGAGGTTTGTAGCATTAGCTTTCATAGATTTTAAGTCTACTTCTTCAGATCCTTATAGTGGAGTGGAAGCGAGGGACAGATAGGAGTGCAGGAATTTAACTGAAGAAAACTGAAAAGGCATGTTGGCTACAACAGAATCAGTCAGCATGAGTAGAACCCATGAGTTAAAATTAAACTAAGTTAAAAGTTAAAGTCTTCAGTTAAATACAGCATTCCTGTCTGTTCCTAGTTTCCACTCATAAGGATCTGAAGAAGTAGACTAAAGTCTATGAAAGCTAACGCTACAAACATTTTTTTTCATCAGTCAGTCAGGCCTGGAAGAGGAGGGGCAGCTGCACGTGCGGTGCCCCTTCCTTTTCCCGAGGTTGCCCTCGGAGCTGCTGGCCCTCCGCACGGCCGGTGCTCCGGAGGCAACCTCCCGCCGCAGCGTCCTCACACGTTGCGGCGGAAAAGGCAGGGAAAGTGCACCCTATGCTTTTAGGGCACACTTTCCCTGTCTTCTAAAAGGAGCGCCAATTTGGCTCTCCTTTCAGGGATGCTGCAGGAGCGCCGCGGTGTGGAGGCTGCGGTCCCACGGCGCTCCGTCCGGCGGCGTCCTGGAAGCACTCGTGTGCTTCCCCCCTGAGTGCTCAAACTTAAAGGTATTCTGGCACTAGGTGTTACCCCCCTTAGGGCAGGGGTAGGCAACCTTTCCCCTTTAAGGGCCAAGGGACTTCAGCTCCCAGAAGCCTCAGCCATGTTGGCCAATAGTCCCATGTTGGCCAATAGCTCCTGTGATTCTGGGAGCTGAAGTCCCTCGGCCCTTAAAGGGGAAAGGTTGCCTACCCCTGCCTTAGGGTGTCACCCAGTGTCAGGGGATGCGTCTTCTGGAGAGATGGGACTTCCGGGGGGTTACTTTTGACTTCCAGGGGTGGGACCTTCACCTTCGCCAAAACCTCCTCTCCCCCTCCCCATCTGGGCCCTCAACTGCCTCTCCGGAGAGAGTTGAAGGCCTGGGACAGCGGGGAAAAGGAGGAACAGGTATGTGCCTGTTCCTCCTCTTTCCCCCACTTTGCTCTCCCAGGCCTTCAGATGTCTCTCCAGAGACAGCTGAAGGCCCATGATGGCAGGGAAGATGAGGAACAGGCACGTGCCTGTTCCTCCTCTTTAGCCACTCTCCCATCTCTCCATGTGTCCTGCAGAATGGCTTTGCATGCCCGAGATGGCACGTATGCCACAGGTTTGCCAACATGGCCCTAGGGTCTCTCTCTTCCCACTGTGCCTCAGCCCACCTACACCATCTTTTCAGTGTTTTAAACCTTAGGGTGATACCTTAATGGGCATTTGGGGGGCACCCAAGGTGACACCCTAAGGGGGGGTGACACCACTGGTCCCCAAACATCTGCTAGAGATGAATGCCGGATGAACGCCAGAGACCATTTCTGTCAAGTCAAATGTTTGGAGAGCAGTG